CTTCGCTCTCTCTTTCCTTCTCTTCTGTCTCCATCTGTCTACACCTACAGAGCTTAATTGGAAAGGTCTGAGAGGTTCTCCATTTGCTGTATTTGTAGAGGACAAAGCAGTTTATAGAGATTACAACAGTTGCTGATTTCTGAATGTTTGAAAAAGACTGTTATAATTGCCAATTAGCGAAGTTGCTAGGCTAGAATGGTCTGCTTAAATTACAGATGGTGAAGTGTCAAAAAATAAATGGGGCAAGTTAAGTTGCTAGATGCAATTTAAGATGTACTCAGCCACAGTGTTGGGCTAAACACTTTGAAAAAGTAGTGATGGCTGAATTCTGAATACACTGTCCTAAATGTAGTCTTCATGTAATGTAACTCATTTTTTCTAATTGTAATTATTCTGTTAATATGTCAAAATTCAATTATTATTCAAATGGATACAAAATAATAAGAAAATTCTCAACATTATTTTGTCTTTCATGGCCTGCTTCAGTCCACTGCTGCTCCCATAATCCCACTGCCCTTTCATGCCCTAACCCAACAAGCTCCCATATTCCAATAATACATTTTTGCTAATTTGCCTATGAGATGCTGGGTCACTGCTGTCAGAACAAAACCTTACATCTCCCAAATGATAATTTTACAGGAGACACAAAAACATGCTTTACTTGTCAATGTAAGTCAATGTAATCAGACTTTTTTCCAAGTAATTTTAGGCCATTTCTCTTGTTCCATTCATTATGAAATTTACACGCAATGTAAAGGCTAACAGGCATTTTCAAACTGTGTAAAAAACTGAAAAACAACAAAAATGGAAATACGAGGTTTTGTTCCGACAGCAGAGATATGGAACTTGCCATGAAACACATGCAAGTCCATTACAATACCAAAGCTCAGCTTATCACTCGTGAACATGTCTATAAGTGAGGAGACTATTCAGTTCAGTCACCCCTTAAAAGTGTTTACTGACACTCAGATTAACAATTGACTCATCATAGTGATTTATCAGTCTACTCAGGCTTTAGCAGGAACTTCAGCATTTGTAAAGAAGCTGTTTTTTGAGTCCTTCTTCAGAGGCTGTTTTTATACACTGTGCTAATTTTAAGCCTTGTGTGGTGTTGATGTGTTTGTTACTCAGTGGTCTGCTGGACCCACCACATTATTGATTTTTTAAACCATAACAATTTATGTAAAAATACCAGATGTTTAAATATCACAAGTGGCCATAGGGTTTCCTTTAGCAGCTGTAGCCAGTCAGCAGCCTGTCATTGTTGTCCACCCTCACACACACACACACACACACACACACACACACACACACACACACATATACAAACACACACACTGACACACACACACACACACTCACAGCAGGCCATGTAGGAGGAGAACAGAGTGAAGGACACAGCACCTCCACACTTTTACTCCCCGTGGGTTCAGCCCAACACCACATGTATATAAATGTGTGGGGGGTGAACAGAGTGAAGGCTCTGAAAATGGGTTATTTTATTATGTTCTTCACAGAAAATGAGCAAAGACCAAGAATCTGAGGTTGAATTAATAATAAATGACATCATTTTTTCCTTTTGTAAACATTGAAAATGGGTCCCACAGACCCCAACACCACACAAGGGTTAAAATAGTTAATAAACAAGCGTTGATGGTGTTTCTTTTAAAGATGGTATATATATTTTAAACATTTAGCAGGTAGGTATTCTAAATGTATTCTCCCAAAGATGTAAAAGGTAACTGTTTTCTAAATACTACCTTTACAAAATGTAACTTGGACTGGATACAGATACTTCATTTCTGTATTCTGAATACAGAACTTGTGAAATATACTGGCAGGGTCAGGACAATGTTTAAAGAGTTGGGGCCAACAACAGAATTCATCGTTTTCTTGCTCTTAGACAGATGTAAGCAGAGCAGTATATCAAACTGAATTAAACCGTGGGCCTTTTCAGTGCAGCTGCTATACATGGTCTTGGAGTTTAGTCTCCAGCTTGCTTTCCCAGGAGCATTTGGCTTTTGACAGCAGTATCGGATTAATTTTTTGAAGTATTCTGAAAGTGTGTCTTTAAGGAACGTAATGGTTTCCAAGATTCTGTGAGAACATAGGAGCTGGGAAATGGAGCATGTGCGGGAAGCTCCTAATCTGACGGTACCTTAAGAAATGCCCTTCTGGCAATGCTTTGTTTGTCTGTCAGAAACCCGAAATGTATTGGATTAAGCAATGAGGAGAGCAGCAGTATTGCATTATGACTAGAATGGCAAGTCTTGTGGTTTTTATATTTATAGGATTACACTAGAAATAGGTATATATCGGTCGGTCATGCCGCTGCAGGGCAACATTAATCAGGCTAGTGCAACAACCATTTGTATCTTGTCTGTGCAAATATTTTGTTTACATATTTGTTTTTCGTAGTGGTGCAACTGCAGCTCCTGTCAGAACATCTTGTCCTGAATAAACCAAGAAAATGTCACAGATTTGGGTATAACAGTTATTGGTTTGGCTATTGTGTAACGTTTATGAAGGTTGAAAATGAATGTGTCCCTTATTTGGACTTTTTAGTTGCAAGCCTTAGCATAGATGTTGCATTGTTCTAAGCCCATCTGTAACTCAACACTCTGAGGCTGACCACTGTATTGCAGGCTGACCAGAGAGAACTGTGTAACTGCTAACAAAGCAAGACCTTAATTGCATTTTGTACTTGATTTGTACTGTAAAGTTTGAATTTCTAGGTAGCTCTATATGGGTAAAGTCACCTCAGAACATTCTGGAGCTGATCTGGCCAGGTTATGTATTTGTGTAGGTCAGGGGTGTTCAAACTTATCTGCAAAGGGCCGGTGAGCCTGCAGGTTTTCATTCCAAAAAAGCAGGAGCGCATTTGATTAATGCTTGAAGACCGAGATCAATTGAATAAACCAGTAAATGTGCTCCTGCATTACTGGAACGAAATCTGAACCCTTTGCAGTCGTTTAGGTCACTCAGAAAGGGCTAAGAGGCACCTTTAGATGGTCAGTGCAGTCCAAAAAGTACAGAAAGCTTCATTCCAATCGGCACTGCAATTATCTTTCATTTATTCACTTGGTATTTCCTGACAGGAACAATAAACGGGCCTTCCATTGTCGCCTACAAACTCAGTCATGACTTATTTTCCCCCAAGCATGAGTTATTTTATCTCAGTTGTGAGTTACCGATACAGAAATCTGACCCATGACAATATATGGATATCAAATATATGACATATATTAGCATATATGGATTTCTCTTATATCCAACTTATATTTGACACATAAGGCCAGCTGTAGGAAGAAAACCTCATATCTCCAAAATGGTAACTTTACAGGAGAAGGAAAAAACCTACTTTACTTTTAATGTAAGTCAATGGAGCCAGACTTTTTTCCAAGTCATTTTGGGTCATTTCTTTTAGTCCATTCATCATGAAATTCACACAAAATGTAAAGAGCAACAGGCATTTTCAAATTATGTCAAAAACTGAAAAACAACAAAAAATGGAGACACAAGGTTTTCTTCCAACATATAAGTAACATACACACAAACTTATTTGAAATTGGCAAATATAGGACACAAATATGAGCTTATTGAAATACATATATTTAAAATACATGTTGGAAAACATTGTTCATAAATGGGTGGCATGTACTGCTCATATTTATGAGCTTTGAGTGCAGCCTTCTAGTGCATTTCATGTTGATCTTTTGCTTTTAAAAGATCTTCCAGTGTTTCTATCATATATATATATATATATATATATATATATATATATATATGTATGTATATATATGTATGATCCATGTATCAGACATACATCAGACATATAGTATCTATGATTCATATGTGTTCACCCACAGATCAGACATGTATGTATGCTCCATATATGGTGCCTATATTCCTATATTTCCAATATTTGATACTTAGATATATGTACACTACAAATATGTAAGTATATTTTGAAGTACATGTCTGACACTTTATGATGGGCTACATGTGCACATACACCAATTAGGCATAACATCATGACCACCTCCTTGTTTCTATACTCATTGTCCATTTTATCAGCTCCACTTACAACATAGAAGCACTTTGTAGTTCTACAGTTACAGACTGTAGTCCATCTGTTTCTCTGCATACTTTGTTAGCCCCCTTTTACCCTGTTCTTTAGACGTCAGGACCCCCATGGACCCTCACAGAGCAGGTACTATTTGGGTGGTGGATCATTCTCAGCACTGCAGTAACACTGACGTGGTGGTGGTGTGTTTGTGTGTGTTGCGCTGGTATAAGTGGATCAGACACAGCAGTGCTGCAGGAGTTTTTAAACACCTCAGTGTCACTGCTGGACTGAGAATAGTCCACCAACCAAAAATATCCAGCCAACAGCGTCCTGTGACCACTGATGAAGGACTAGAGGATGACCAACACAAACTGTGCAGCAGCAGATGAGCTATCGTCTCTGACTTTACATCTACAAGGTGGACTGACAAGGTAGGAGTGTCTATTTGAGTGGACAGTGAGTGGACACTGTGTTTAAAAACTCCTGCAGCACTGCTGTGTCTGATCCACTCAGACCAGCAGAACACACACTAACACACCACCACCACGTCAGTGTTACTGCAGTGCTGAGAATGATCCACCACCCAAACAGTACCTGCTCTGTGAGGGTCCATGGGGGTCCTGACCACTGAAGAACAGGGCAAAAGGGGGCTAACAAAGTATCAGAGAAACAGATGGACTACAGTCTGTAACTGTAGAACTACAAAGTGCACCTATATAGTAAGTGGAGCTGATAAAATGGACAATGAGCGTAGAAACAAGAAGGTGGTCAGAACGTTATGCCTGATCGGTGCATATCAGATTTCCCTATGGTGATTTAAGCATTATCCTCTTTTTATAGACACTTAATTTCAGCTAGTTAAGGGGAACTGGTCTCCTCACAGGAGTTTAGCCTGTGGGAAGTTAAGGAGGAGACTCCTAACCCAAAGGTCCGAATCTGAGCCACTGCCCCCAAGCATTTTATGAACGAAAGGGGTGGGCGAGCGAGTCAGTCACGGGAGGAAAGGGAAATGATTGTAAATCCATTCAGATCCAGAATTTAGTCTCTCCTTTTTTTTAACAGGGGGGGAAAAAAAGATCTCCACATTTTCTCCTGCTCGTCGTCCTGAAGCTCTCCCGGTTTCCCGCGCTGATGAGAGAGAGGGGCGCGCGAGCCACCTGAAGGACTCTGAGGACTTAAGTTGCAGCTGCGGCTCAGCGAGTAAATGACACCAGAAAACCAACGAGTCTGGCATCAAATCTGAAACCTTCGAGGACTGTAACGCTGGAGATGAAGAGAGAGTGCACACTTTTCTGTGGGATTTGGATCGGGATAGCCTCTTTCTCAGGTGAGGGTGCCGTGTTTTGGGGTGAGTTGCCGCTCGGAAAGTTGGTAGCTAAAGTTCACTCGGATGTCCAACGGCTCTGTGCGGACTGTGTGGGTGGGTGTGAGGGTCCATGAGTGCTTTTAAGTCAGATTTTCGACCCTAATATGGTTCCTTCCAAGAGCTGCTTTTAAAATGTTTACCTGTAATTTAGACAGGCCTATTTTAGCCCCTCGTTTTCTTTCTTTTTTTGTTTTTAGCTTTCCTCGGTCAGCCCAGCTAGAAAAACCAGCATAGACTAGCATAGCATAGCTAACCTAGGTTAGCTGTTCACCAAAACCTCGTATCTCCATTTTTGACGTTTTTCAGTTTTTGACATGATTTGAAAACGCCTGTTACCCTTTATATTGTTTGTAAATTTCATGATGAACGGAGTAAAATAAATGACATAAAATGGCTTAGAAAAACGTCTGGTTCCATTGACTTACATTAAAAGTAAAGTAGGTTTTTTCCTTCTCCTGTAAAGTTACCATTTTGGAGATACGAGGTTTTCTTCCCACAACAGCGATATGTTATTTTGGCAGACTAGCTATCATAGAATTTATGCTGGTCATTTATGCTGGTCTGTGCTGGTTATTTCAGCAGAGAGTTGAAAGAATAAACGGTATTAAAGTTTTTACCTCACAAAAAAAAGAGCAACATGGACCAGCTGGCCTACATTCTCAAGTACTACAGCCTCACAGTAGCACAGACAGTTGGTTGTGATTGTGCCCTGGTCACAGTTTATGAGATGTCACTGGGAGTATTTAAAGTCATTTGGGATTGAAGAAAGCTGCTATGAAGAGTGCATCGCTTCATAGACCGCAATCTTTTCCTGTATCATTGTTGACATTCATATTGTCAAAAGGAGCCTAGCCAAATAATGTGATGGTCTAGAGAAGCAGATCAGTGAATATATTAGGCCAGAACATCTTCTCACTGTCTCAGTGTCAGTAGAGGGACCTGGGCTTTAATTTAGCTGATCGGTGATGATAATAGGCAACAAATGTATTAGGATGATGGATGATGTTGGAATAGATTTCATCAGGATACGCAGATTTAAAGATATGGGTCCTTCTACAGAAACGTCCGTTTTTGTGTCCCTAGCATTTACAGATATGTTACACTTGAAAAACGTGTTAGGGTTACAATTTATTTATATTTTAAAATAAGTTATTTTAACATTTACACCTTCTTGAGCCGTCGATTTAGCAATATTGGTTTTAAAATCAATCATATAGAATTCCAAGCACCACAGAAGAGCTCGTCCTCACGGTCAGGTGTAAAAGGTGAGGCCATATTTTGAGGTAAAAAACATGTTTTTTTGCTATTTTAACTGCAGTAATCCCTACAAGACTATGAAATATATGATTTAAATGAAATAAAGAAAACAAATGCCAAATAAATATTATAAAATATATAATGAAAGTTGTTGTCCCCAGGAGTCGTGTCACTGGTGTTACTACATAACAAAAAATCTCTTATTTTGAAATAAAAGTCACACTGATGACATCACTTGACTCCCTTTTACCTGTTTTCTGAGGATCTATGAAGAAAAGCACATGGTGAGTCCACTGAGTCTTTCAGTTATCAGAGATTTTCTCATTTAGCTCGTGATTTCATATGAAGCTTTTAGCTGAAGTCACTGGTGTGACCGGCTTTATTCTGAGGTAACTGTGAAAAAATAGAATACAAATGGATTAAATGACATATTTTAGTGGATATTCCATGATGGACAACATGTGGTTTGTTGCTCCGTAGCAGCCGTTTTGTAAAATGCATTTTTCATTAAAAATGTCTCTGGTGTTACCGTCTCTGATGTAACACCAATGAGGTTTGACACCTATGGATAGATGGAAAAGTGGACGTTTCTCTAGAATGACTCATATACAATAGGTTGATGAAAGCATGGCACGTAAAGCACTACCTGAAAGTCCATACGATGATCAGTTTTGGCATCGCTGCTTGCGCTTTAACCTAAGTTCGCTCTTCCAGCTGAACAGCACTTAATTGGTTTGATGGTCTGGTAAAGCCATCAGGTTCCAACAACAGGAAAATGTTTGGCGGCTGCTTTATTCACTTTTTGCCCCTTTATTGTTCTCTCATGAAATGATAATTAAGTTTAGGTATATGAAAGGTCACCCTGTTTAAGCCGACTTCCTGTTAGATGCCTCTTTTGTGGATTATGATAATCATGCTTGAGAGATTTGGCACTGTGGTATTTCCTCTGTACACAACTCTGCTCCAGTAACCCATCTCTGAAATCAAACTCTCAGTGAGGGATGTGCTGTTCGCCAGTCATAATATCTAGAGGACCGTTTGAGACAACAAAAGCCCCAGTTCTCTGCTTGGATCTGAGGAATCAGAGCATGTTCTTAGGGGAACGTTCCCCTGGCGTTCACTGGCCAAGACTGTGGAGCATTCAGAGCGGCGTTTGGTATGAAAGCTTCCCCTCATTGAATTCCAAATAAAGAGCGTATCGAGAGATCGTCTGTCATCGCAGGTGTCAGTTAGTGAGACCCAGGAGGGGAACTTGCCGCCTGCCGGGTTATGCATACCGTTCCCCGCACCTTGGGTGGAGGCTTCTGCGGAAAGATGGCCTCCCTCAACATTAGGAATCCACAGCCATAAGAAACCCAGATATATGTGTCTCTGTTAAATATCTTCACAAATGAAAACCACATGGAGGCTTGGTGGCCGAGGGAATTCGGCTGTTTTGTTGTAGCCAAGACTGGGTCCAATTATTAGAAGTGGTCCCCCAATTACTTATCTGAACACTAACCTTAACCGAAGCAAAAATGGGAAAATTGGAGACTTTGAGGCACAAAAGAGATGATTGTTATTTCATCGGAGGCAAAGCTCGTTCAAAAGACAAGCGCCAGGGGCAGCAGAAGAAGCCGTGCACTTTTATTGATTTCAAGTAAGCTTCTGTGGGCTGTTAAGGTAATTCCCCTGAATGGGAGACGATTAGCCCTTGAGCTGGCTGATTTAACACGGCTACCATTTCAGTTTTGAAAAACTCTCGAATGTTCCTTGAAGTCCAAATGACAGGGCACAAATGCTACGAGCACGTTACTCCAAAAGGATGTTTAAATACACTCCCGGCCTCCACTTGTCCCTTTTCTCGGACAGCTCACTCACTGCAGCATGTTTCATGTTACCGCCGTGGTGATTAAAAACAGCTTGAGACTTACTCAGTGATGTTTCACTCGACCTACAGGGCCGTGTTTGAAGTGAGAATGTCATTATTGGGCCGGGAAGCTACGGAATCTTCTAGTTTTAGGTATAATCTACTGTAGTGTGCTCCAGGAGAGGCAATTAAGGCAGAGATGGGCAGCACATACACACAGACATGCAGCCTCCAGCAGCTATCGGCCCCCACAGAGCCTTTTCCCTTCTGTAAACTTTGCTCAAATTTGAAATGCTTTGTGTTTAGATTCTTTGCATCTAATGTTGCAGCTGTAGGTGGGCATGAAAAAAACACTCCTTGGTGTCCAGACATAATAGGAAAGAAGTCATGTGGGTGGAACTGTTTTCTTTTGTTCGAGAGATGCTCTCCGTTCCGGTCCGGGAAGGACTCTGTCTTATTGCAATTACATTTCATTAGTTAATGACTGATTACTGTCTTGATTAGTTAATGACTGAGGACCATGTTTAATTCATTTATTTAATCTCAACAGAAATCCAAGCATTACAGTCTGATTCAGTGAGCAGGGGGCTAATGTTTATTTCGAGATAGCCTGGTTTGTATGCATGAAGCTTTGCAAAGCATGAGTGCTGATAAGGTTTGTTTTGGTATTTCCTATTCTAATAAATTAACTGAAGGCTACAAGAGAGCATGTTTTTTCTGAAAGTCTCACATTTGGGCCCAATAAAAAACTACCGCCTTTTCATTTCTTCTGACTGACATCTACTCTAAAGATCCTTAGGAATAGCTGTTTGTTTTACATGGAGCTCTATTTAAGAGAACATCAGTACTTATGTAGAATTTCTATTTGTTTATTAGTTTGTGTTTATAACAGGCCTGTCACAGTGTTTTCTATTGAAAATAAGACGCCTTTGAAAAAATTCTAAATTGAAGTCTTTTAATTTGAATCTAACGGCCTGTGGCAAAAAGTCATGTTGCCATATGAGGCATCATCACAAGGTTTGTCTGGTTACCGATATGACATGCCCTGTCATTGAGGTCAGTGAGGGTTCATGGGAAAGAGAGTATTTAGTAGGCTCTGAGGAAACTGCCAGCTTCCTCCTGGCCTCCCACACCCATTCTATTATCTAACCCCCTTACCTCCTTCCGACCTTTCTGTTTGTATTCTATGGCCGCATCAGCACCGCCATGCTTCATCAGATTTATTTGCTCTGTGGGGAATCCCTCGTTATCTGAAATGTGAGGCAATGACTTGGAACTTTGCCATTTTAAATGTCTGCTCAATTAATGGGAGTGTCGGTACAATATATTTCTCCAGAGTAAGGATGACGGGACATCCCCACTGATTCGAACAAAGGAATTAACACTACTCTAGGTCAGCGGGAGACCTACGTGCAATTTGGGCTCATGCGCGTGTATCTGGTTTCGACCCAAGGCCCCGAAGTGCATGAGAATCTGTTGTTCTGCTGCAGTCGTCAGTGGAAAATGCTCTTCCTTCTAACCTTGCAGAGGGAAGTAATTTTGGGCCGAACGTGATGACAATTGAAACAGCGCAGTGGAAAGCCGAGTGCGTCCTGTGTGGCCGTCGGCACAGGTACAGGAAATTGTAGTCAGGGGACAAGAGCGGCATGTAGGAAACACACGCTGATGCCTCCCACCCCCTGTCCCCCCCACCACCCCCAAAACATCCTCACTTCAAGTCCAGTCAGGAAATAGGAAGGGCACTAGCAGGCAGATAAATGTGCACAAAAAACCTACAGTTTCTCTTTGGCTCTCATCCTTCATAGACAACAAAGGAATCAAAGTCAGTGCTGGCCTTGTGTGGAGAGGAAAGAGG